GGCTTCCTGCCCATGTTCCAAACCTCATTCATCAGCTTTTCCATTAATTTTATGAGCTATCCACTGACCTTACCATACGTTCCTTTCTCTCTAATTAACCTAAGTTGGTCTCCATTGTGTAGGAACCTGGAAATGATTAGTACATTCCCCTTTGTGTAGAAGTCGCCTTTTCTATGAAGATAAAAAGATGAGGGAGAGGGTTGCCTCCTAATCAATTGCCCCTAAGTCAGGTGGCCAACTCTAATCCAGAAGAATCCATTATTGTGACTTTGGTGGTAATCATTTCTTTGCTTTTCTTTATAGTTTTACCACCTATGTATATATCCCCCCACAAAATGTAGTTTCATTTAGCTTGATTTTGAACTTTAGTTGAATCATACTGTATACATTCTTTTGTGCTTACTTCTTTCACTCAGTATTATGTTTATGGGATTCATCCAAGTTGTCAAGTAGAGCTCCAATTTGTTCATCTGCATGGCTGTAAGGTAACCCACTGTAAGAACATCTCAGGACTTATTTATTTATTCCACTGCGTGTAAGATGTTGTGTTGTATCAGTGTGGGTCTATAATAAACAAAACTGCTTTGAATATTCTGGTATATGTATTCTAAGGGCATTCAAGGGCATCTCCTTGGCAGTAGAATATCAATCATGGGTTATGTGTACCTTTGACTTTCCTAGATAATGCCAAACCATTTTCTGAAGTGAACACACCAACACCACCAGCAGGCTTCAGGAGTTTCTGCTGCACGATGTTCTCGCCAACAACTGGTGGTGTCAAACTGTTTCATTTTAGCCACCCTGGAGGATGGCTCATAGTATCTCACTGCAGTTATAATTTTCATTTCCCTGATTAACAGTGAAGTTGAGGATATTTGCATATGTTTATTGGTCATATTTTTTCTTTGGTAAAGTCCCTATTTAAGTCTTTTGCCCATTTTTTTCAAGGAGTTTTCATATGTTGTGAAGGCTAGTCCTTTATTAATTATGTGTGTGGTAAATATAGTCTCCCACTCTGTACTTTGTGGGGTTTTCTGTTAATTTTATGCTATCTTTTGATGAACAGAAGTTCTTTATTTTAATCTTATCAAATGTATCAGTCTTTTCATTTATAGTTGGTACTTCCTTTTTTTTTTTTTAAAGATTTTATTTTTATTTATTTGACAGAGAGAGGCACAGTGAGAGAAGGAACACAAGCAGAGGGAGTGGGAGAGGGAGAAGCAGGCTTCCCGCCGAGCAGGGAGCCCGATGCGGGGCTCGATCCCAGGACCTTGGGATCATGACCTGAGCCGAAGGCAGACGCTTAACGACTGAGCCACCCAGGCGCCCCTATAGTTGGTACTTTCTATATCTTGTTTTAAAATTCTCTACCTTTGAAGTCATAAAGATATTCTCCTGTATTACTTTCTAAAAGCTTTAAATGTTGTCTTTCACATTAAGCCTAGAAATGATTTTTGTGTGTGCTGTGAGGAAGGGAATTTTTTTTCCCATATGGATATCCAACTGTCCCAGCAGCATTTATTGAAAAGCCCATCTTTTCTCTACAGCATCTCTATCATACACGAAGTGTCTATATATGTTTGGGTCTATTCTTAGGCTCTCTATTCTGCTCCATCAGCCTATTTGCCATTCCTATACTAATACTATACTGTCTTATTTACTATAATATACAATAATTCTTAATCTATTATAGATCAAATTCTCCCAATATCTTGACAAATTTTGGACCTTTACACTTCTATGTAAAATTTTAATTTCTTCATCAAGTTCCACAAAAACTAAAATGAACAAACAACAACCACCTGATGAAGTTCTGATTTGCGATCACATGCAATTTATAAATTAATTTAGGGAGAACTATCACCTTTACCATATGGAGTCTTTCAATTAATATCTTGTAACAGCACTCCAACCAGTTTTAAGGATTAACTTACTTCAAGCTTATGCACTTCTTGCTTGCTGACCTAAGTCCCTTGGCAGAACTAACTTACTTTCCTTGAGTTTTGCAGACCACTGGCCTTGAGGAGTGAAGGACAAAACTTTGCCAGAAGATAAGGCCTGATTACGTTCTAAAGCAGCTACCGCTGATGCCAGCAAGTCTGTTCAGGGTCATGTTGACATAGAACTAACTGCCTGGGCACCAGCTTCTCCTGCAGATAGCCTCCCTCCCTTTTCTCATGCCTTCTCCTTTAAATCCCTCCAGCTTCGCCTAGACAGTGATGAATGGTCTTTGAGATGTTACGCCACCATCTTCCCAGTTTGCCGGATTCCTGAGTAAAGTAAATCTTCCTCTCCCACCATCACTTGTCTCAAGTATTGATTTTCAAGTGCCAAGCAGCTGAACCTGAGTTCAGAACCAGTTCTCTGTCCGGTAACAAACTCAGGATCCCTCCACTTATTTTAGGTCTTCCTTAATGTCACTCAATAACGTTTTATTCTCTACATAGAATTGGAATATTAGCACAGAGGCCATGTAATTATGTACACATGTTTAAAATTCTTACGTTTTCCTGATGAACAGAATCTTTCATCATGATTATCTCTAGTAATGCTTTTTGATTGATATTGATAGAGATGTATTAGCTGTAGTTTCCAATTGCTGCTGTTACAAATTTCCACAAGCTTAGTGGCTTAAAACAATACAAATATATTATTTTACAATTCTGTAGGTCAGAAGTCTGATACAGGTCTCACTGGGCTAAAATCAGATGTTGGCAAGGCTGCATTCCTTGCTAGAGAGAAAATCCATTTCCTTATGTTTTCCAGATTCTAGAAGCCCCTTGCCTCTTCAAAGCCAGAAACATTGCATCTCTTTGCCTTTCTTCTACAGTCACTTCCCCTTTTGACTGATTCTTTTTCTGCCTCCCTCTTGTGATTACATTGAGCCCACTCAGATAATCCAAGCTAATCTCTATATCGCAAGCTCCTTGATTTAATCACACCTGCAGAATCCCTTTTGCCAAGGAAAATAACACCTTAATCTAAGTGTTTGTGTCCCCCCCCAAATTCACATGTTGAAACCCTGATCCCTAACATCCTGGTACTTCGAGATGGGGCCTTTGGGATGTGATTAGAAATGGGATTAGGACCCTTATAAAAGAGGCCCTAGAAATCTCCCTCGGTTAGTCTTTCAGTCCTAGCCCTGGTACTAGTGGTTGCCCTCAGAGAAATCCTGGCTTTGGCTTTTGCTAACTGATCACTGTTCTAATTTCAATTTACTGTTCTTAACCATCACCAACAGAAGCCCTCTCCCCACTTCCAGTTCCCGCTTTGGAGATCCCTTACTTTCCTGCAAACTTAATAATGGTTTAAAAATAACATCATTTTTTCTCAAGTCTTTGGGGGTTTTCTTGCTTGTCTTTTTTTTTTTTTTTTTTTTGGCAATGGAATGTGGTAGAATTATATGTATAATGGCCCCCCACATAGGTCCTTATTCTAATCCCCAGTATGTTACTTATATGGCAAAAGGGGCTGGGCAGGTGTGATGAAGTTAAGGCACTTGCTATGGGGAAATTTATCCCAGAATATCTGGTTGAACCCAATGTAATCACAAAGGTTGGTTGTTATAAGAAAGCAGGTGGAAATTCAGAGAGGGCAAATTGAAGTGATGCAACTTGTGAGCCAAGGAATGCCAGCAACTTCTAGAAGCTGGAGGAAGTAAGGAATGGATTCTCCCTTGGAGCCTCCAGAAGGAACAGTTTTGCCTGCACCTGGTCTAAATCTAACTGATTACTCAACCTCTCCACTTGGACGTCTAATGTAAATTTCAAATTCAACACGTAAAAAACTAAATTCCTGATTTCTGCTTTCAAAATACTTTCTTCTACAATTCAGTTCTTCCAAGTTGCTCACAATGTCTCCTTTACCACATACTCCACAAATCTTACCAGCTATTTTAAAATATGTCCAGAATTCAATGAGGTTTCAATCATCTCAATCACAACCACTCTGGCCTAAACCAACACTATGGCCTGGATTACTGCAATAACTTCCTAACTGATAACACCTTTCACCAACTAATATAGATTTATTTTCCACCAGCTCCCTCTATATGGTCTCTAGGAGGACACTTTGTCTCTCATTCAGTGCCAGGAACCCCAGTGCAACCTCACAGATGGTCCACTTCCTAGAATGGATAAATATTTTATCCCACTACGTATACAGCAATTCGTTTAAGATGTCTGTGCGAAAATTACCTGCAGGAGCGTTTTACAAATTAAAAAAAAACCACACACACACACCAGAACAAAGCAGTTAATGAGGGAGAGGGGTCAGCTGGCTGAGGCAGTTTCCATAAGCCTTCCCTGTTTACCTCAGCTGACAGGTTTTCCGTTTAAGCCAATACTCTTTTGACCACTGTGGGTGGAAAGCTTCTCGCTCCACTCGCACCTCATCCTTAGCTGACCGCCTAATCACCGAGTCCTCGTCCTGCCTTGGCAACAGGTGAGCCCACGTGGCTTCGCGCTGGAAGATGCGCTTGAACCTTCCAGACCCTCACAAACGACACTGGATCCTGGACCACACGTACGACTTTAATCAGACAGAAAAAGGGGCACACGTCTCATTTACCTTCTCCACTGTACTAGTAACTTCAAATTTAAAAGCCAGGGAAGAAACCTTCTAAGACTGAACCTTCAACCTGGCTGCTGGTGCAGGAGCCGAGAGCACCCGCTAGAAAGCATAATCCTCGCCGGACTCTGGGGTTGATGGGAAGCGATATCGGCGTCTAGTACCCTGACCCAAAATGGCCGGTTATTCGATCACGCGAATAGCGATAAAGCTAGAGCCACTGGAAGAAGTAAGATGAGAAGGGAGAACGAAAGCAGCATTTTCTTGCTCCATCATGAAGGCAGAGTTTATAAGGAGAAAAAAAGTCAAGGACGACGAAGCACCCAGGTGTTAGGAACCGCGGGACTACCGAGATAGGCCAAAGGCGACTCTGACCCAACCCAACATGGCGCCAGAGAGTATAACCCGGAGCGGAAAGAGGCGGTGATTACCGTGATCCAAGATGGCGCTGGCATTTGAAGCAAGTCGAGAGGCGGGGAGCGCCAGGAGTGTCTTTGCCCTCTTTCAAGATGGCGGCCGCCGTGGGCGCTGTCTCTGGCTCCGCCCCGCGGCCTCGGCCCCGCCTCTCCCTCGCCCCTCCCTCCGCCCCCTCGCAGTGCCTTGTCCGGGCGGTGGTGTTCGCGCAAGGAGAGCGTGCTCCGGCAACTTGACATGGCGGCAGCGGCGGCTACTGCGGCGACGAAGGGGAATGGGGGCGGGGGGGTCCGGGCCGGGGCCGGGGAAGCTGGCGGCGCGCGGAAAAAGAAGGGTCCAGGGCCTCTGGCCACGGCGTATCTGGTCATCTACAATGTGGTGATGACGGCGGGGTGAGGCCGGGACGCGGGGAGGCGGGGAGCAAGCCGGGCCGGGAAGGGGGCTTTGCGGCCGGGCCCGCGCGCAGGGCAGCCCGGGCGGCGGGTGGCAGGGTCCGGGCTCCGGGGCACTGAGGGCAGCCTAGTCGGCCCAGGTGCCTGCCCGGGACTCCCGCCTGGGCGAGGGGCCGAGCAAGTTCTCAGGCTGGGTGTGCCCGAGCTGGAGTTCTCGAGCTCCAGGGCGGCCCTGGGAAAGCCGCCCTGGCGCTGGTCCCAAGGGCCTTGGGAGGACGGGTGGGCTGGTCAGGGGTCAGTCCGCGGGGGTGCGGCGGGCCGGCTCTCCTGCTCTCCTGCTCTCCTGCAGCGCCGAGGAGAGCCCCGGCGGCAAGTCACGAATGCGAGCCATTTCCCTGAAGGGGAGTGGAGGGAGCTGTGGCTGCAGAGTGACCATTAAATATTTAGGCGGCTGTTTTCAAAATCCAGACTGAGCTTTAATCTGAAAGGTAATGGAAAAGCGTTTGAAGTTTCTGACCAGTGACATAAGCAGAGCTGTGCTTTAAATGAGTTGAGACTTTCTAGAATGGATTGGGGTAGGGAAGGTGGAAGGCAGAGTTATTGGGGATGAGGGGAATATACCCTCTAAACAGGTTTTACCTCCTCTTGTTTCTCCCTCATTTTAGTCCATCCCTTGTCACAGCAGGTTTTTAGTTCTAGTTCTGACACTATCTGTGTGACCTTGGATAAATCACTTTGCTTTTCTTGTCCTCCGTTTTTCATCTGTAAAACTAAAGAGTTTGGATTAGGTGATCTCCAGGGTTCCTCCAGTTCTTTGATCCCATAGTTTTGGTGCTGAGGATCACAGGATCAGACTATTTGTTATGTTTTGTTTTGTTTTTAAGATTTTATTTTTAGGTAATCTCTACACCCAATGTGGGGCTCCAGCGTACAACCCAGAGATCAGTAGTCGCTTGCTCTAACGACTGAGCCAGCCAGGTGCCCCTGTTGTGTATTTTTGAATTGTATTCATCTGTAAAAGATTTTCCCTAACATTTTATTATGAAAATTTTCTTTTTTTTTTTTTTTAAAGATTTTATTTATTTATTCATGAGAGACAGAGAGAGAGGCAGAGGGAGAAGCAGGCTCCCAAGGAGCAGAGAGCCCGACGCGGGACTCGATCCCAGGACTCTGGGATCATGACCTGAGCCGAAGGCGCTTAACCATCTGAGCCACCCAGGCGCCCTATTATGAAAATTTTCAAAGATGCATAAAAGTTTAAAGAACTGTAGGGTGAACTTCTAGTTTTATTTATTTTTAAAATAGGTACTACATTGGCAGGTGCATAATTCAAAATATACCCAAGAGCATACTGTGAAACTCTTCCCTCTCACCCTTCCCTTCCACCCAGAACCCCTCCCCGGAGGTGCTAATTTTGTGATTCCCTCAGATGCTGATGAAAGCAAATATGTACACACACTCCCTTTTTAACACAAATGTTAATGTCACATTAGCATTTCAGCACCTTGCATTCTTCACACACATATAGGGAGGGTTGTAGACTTGATTGCTTCATTAGAAATGGCTGGTGTTGAAACTTAGGTTCAGAGAGGTTGTGACTTTCTTGACTAGCTTGAGATCACTGAACTTGTTAGTAATCGATCTGGGCCTAGAGCCTACTTCTCTTGATTCACAGGCCAGTGGAGAAATAATACAGATACAAGTTTTTTTATTGCATAAATGGTCAGAGAGTGATTTTTAAAAGAACATTTCAGGAGTTTGTACTTGTAGGCAAGGCCATTAACAAGAGCGTTGGACTGGAGAGAGATTTTAAGGTACACTGGGGGAGAAAGAAAGAAGCCTTTATTCCTGGGTGATGGAGGATGGGGAGTGGTGTCTTAAGCCAAGAAAAGAAATTGGGATTTTGAGAAGAAAGTAGTCTTTTTGTTTTGTTTTATTTCTGTTTTTGGTAGGTTGCTAATGCTGGGACAGTTATACCATTAAGGAATTCATTTCTTTTACAAATTCTTATTTGACATCTTTGATAGTTTCTGGAAATAACATAGACCATATATCCCATTGCCTAGTTAGGATTGTACATTTATTTAGGTGACTCTATTACTGCTTTCAAGGAGACATACTTTAATAATAAAGGTCCATTTGTTTCACCATGGAACTTAACAAAAAATTACAGGGCCTGAGAAATTCATTTTTGAGAAGGACAGAACAGAAATGTAACATTCTCAGTGATATGCCTAAGTGTTTCCCTGTTTTGTGTTTTGTATTGATCTGGCCTTTTTTTACTGAATTGATTTTGGGAAATTCGGCTAAAAAAATCTTTCTTTAAAAAACCAACCTTTTCTTATTTCATTCGCAATTTTAAAAGAGTAGGGTGTGGGTGTGTTTCTGTGAGATACTTGTGAAAACAGGTTAAAACATCTTTCCTCCACCCTATTATTATTACAGACCCTTTGACTGCACAGGCCATTTAAAATTTTCCTTTAACAGCTTTTTTCTCTTGTCTTAGATTTCTGGCACTTAATTTAGCTGCTCAAGGACCAATTTAGCTTATTCTCTTCATTTTGGCCTTGTTCTCAACAGGCAAGTTTGCCAAAAAGCTGAGCTCCAGATGGGTGAGGTGCCACTGTGTTTTTGCAGAGCAGAGCACTCTTGGTTGGGTGCTGTTGGTGCAACATTTCTGTGCATTACAGCTTGGCATTTGAGGGCCATAGTTGATAAATCCGGGCTACTAATTCTTGAGGTCACCTTTAGCAATACCTGTTGTTGCCAAATTTTCTGTTACAGTCCTACTTACCTTTTTTTTCCTGATTGCTCTTTATCCTCTTTCTCATAGGTGGCTGGTTATAGCAGTTGGTCTGGTCAGAGCATACCTGGCTAAGGGTAGCTATCATAGCCTTTATTATTCCATTGAAAAGCCTTTGAAATTCTTCCAAACTGGAGCCTTACTGGAGGTAGGTCCTGAGATTTGTTGTCCTTATTGGTTTCTATTGTTAAAAATTTGAAAACTTGCCTCATAGCATACTATAATGTTGATGACTAGATTATCTTTTTGTCAGTCTAGATAAGGTAAAATCTCATTTAATTTCTATTACTTGGAATATATTTTACATTCAGCTTCTATTGAAAATCAAATGAAACAAGCTTAAAATAGGATTTTTTTTTAAATTCTAGGGAAATTGTAGGAAAGTGTTAGCAAACTCAGATACTTTCAGCAGCCAGCTTATGATGGAAACAGTGAAGCTGGTGCGTGTAGGATGTCAGACATGGTAGATACAAGAAACAGTAGAGCCTATCTACATGCATCAAAAAATTTTTCTTAAATAAACGTTCATTAGTTTCCCTGTATTTTTTTTTTTAAGATTTTATTTATTTATTTGAGAGAGAGAGAATGAGAGAGAGCACGAGAGGGAAGAGGGCAGAGGGAGAAGCAGACCCCCTGCCGAGCAGGGAGCCCGATGTGGGACTCGATCCCGGGACTCCAGGATCAGGTCCCAAGCCAAAGGCAGTCGCTTAACCAACTGAGCCACCCAGGCGCCCTAGTTTCCCTGTATTAAGAGTAACATATCTAGTCCTGTCTCCTGAGGTCAGTATATGTTAGCATTTTTGAGTTGCAAGTGACAAAGTATTTTGAACAAAAAAGGAATTTACTGGCTTTATAGTTGATAAAGATTGATAAAGGGTTAACTTACCAAATCAAAGGAACCAGCTCAGGAATGAGACCCAAGGATTTGACATTGCCAGACTCTTTCCATCTCTCATCTCTTGTTTATGTCTATTTCTCTTTGAATGTTGGTCTTAGGCTCTCCTACTGCAGACTGCCTTCTCCATATGGTAGGAAAGGGGGGAGGAGTTACTTTTCTCAGCATCTGTGTCACAGTTCTAGGGAAGGGTTCTGATTGGCCTTACTTAGACCAGTCACCCTTGCCTGTGATGTGAGATAGTTGATTACCTGGGTCTAGGACATATGCCCATCCTTCTGGCCAAGGGACTATAGGCTTTGTTAATGGAAAAGGAGGAATTGGGTAGCCTTGGGCACACAGAATCAATAGGTACTATAGTTCATAATGGTAAAAAACCTGCAGGTTGCAGCAAAAATCTGGTGTTCAGTTTCATTTCACTTAGCCTCCAGGGCAAGCCCATCATGACATTTGGAAGGGTATTACCTTTTACCTCTAGGAAATGACATGTAACACCTTAACCTCTCACCTTCACATTTGAAACAGAAAGTTGTAGTTTTCCTTTTTTCGTTTTTCTCTCAGAAAGCAGAGGTTTCAAAACTGTCCATACTTACACATTTTAGGCAGATGGTATGGGGAGGTGAGCTTCCAGCTGCGAATCGAGGACCCATATTCTAACTATGCTGGTTTTATCAATTCTGTGAATTTGAGCAAGTCATTTATCTCTAGTCCACCCTTTCTTCTCATCTGTGAAATAATGAGGTTAAAGTAGATTTCCAAAGCCCCTTCCTGCCTGATGGGAGGAAGTCTGAGAAAACTTCAGCAAATCCTTGTGTGGGCCATTTGTTAAACTTAGAGTTTTGAATTTTTTTTTGGAAGGTGCCAATAGTAAGTAAATAGTACTTTGCCTCTCAGAGCTTTGGCCAGCACAATTCTCTCCAGCTATAGAGAAGCAAGTTTGGGGCCAGGCCATGAGAAACTGCCCCAGTGCTTGACATGGTACGCAGTTGTACCTGATAGGAATTCTTCAGTGATTTAAAGGGGTTCTATCTCTCTAAGCCTTTGTAATATTAGAAGTATAATTTTTTAAATTTCAGTATGTCTTAGGGAAGGTAGTGACATTAATATGTTTTACAAAATCCACTCAGGAACCAAATCTTAACACTTTGAAGGATTAGCCCATTTATCCCTATAGAATTTTTAACAGGGATTTAAGAAAACATTTTGGATTTTTGGTTTTATCTCTGTTATCCCCACTCAGAACCAATTAGGTGACAAATACTGGATTTGATTTTGGGAAAAGGACTTTGCAAAATGAAGTGAGGACTCCCAGGAATAGCAGGGAATTAGCTTTGCAGTTGTCAGTCATGGCAATAGACCCTTCAGCCTGGGGCAAGAGAGCAGACTTATGAAAACTGCATCTCCTGAGTTGTCCATTAAGGAAGATTTCATGCCTCTGCAACCTATATCATATAATAATTACATGTGTACAGTGTCGTTGAATTACAGATTAGTTATCCTTCTGGGAATTATTCATGTTTGACAGTATATCTTGTTTGCAAGAGGAGAAAAGGAGAGAATGATTCCAGGGAGGTTATTCATTTATGTCTTTGTATGTTCAGTGTCATTATACCTTTTTTTTTTATTGAAGTATAATTAACATACAGTGTTAATAGTTTAAGGTGTGAAATATAATAATTCAGCAGTTCTATACATTACTCAGTGCTCATCAAAATAAGTGTACTCTTAATCTCCTTTATCTGTTTCACCATCTCCTGCCACCACCAGTTTTTATTTTGTATTTAAGAGTCTTTTGGGTTTTTTTTTATTTCCCAACATTCTGTGTCTTTGATTTGTATTTTCTGTCTTTTTTGCATTTTTTTTGCCTTGTTTTAAATTACAATTCTAATACAATTAACATACAATGTTGTATTAGTTTCAGATGTACAGTATAATAGTTCAACAATTCTGTATAGTACTTAGTACTCATCATGATAAGTGTGCTCTTAATCCCCATCATAACTACCGGTTTGTTCTCTACAGATAAAAGTATGTTTTTTTATTTGTCTTTATTTTCTTTGTTTGGTTTCTTAAATCCCATGTATGAATGAAATCCTATGGTACTTATCTTTCTCTGACTTAGTTCACTTAGCATAATACTCTCTAGAATCATCCATGTTGTTGCAGATGGCAAGATCTCTTTTTTATGGCTGAGTAATATTCTGTTTATATATATGTGTGTGTGTGTATGTCACATCATTTTATATGTATACCACTATAAATGAGGTTACTTACTTGTATTTCTGTATGCTGAATTTTTTTTTTTAGGATTTTATTTACTTATTTATTTGAGAGCACGAGGACATGAGCTAGGGGAGGGGCAGAGGGATAGGGAGAGGGACAAGCAGACTCCCTGCTGAGCTCAGAGCCTGATGAGGAGCTTGATTCCAGGACCCTGAGATCATGACCTGAGCCAAAGTCAGACACTTAATGGACTGAGCCACCCAGGCACCCCTGAATGTTATTTGTTAGTAGGTTTTGTGGGAGTTTGCTTAAAAAACAAATAGAGATTACTTGTTTGCAAGAAACTTCAAATTTTCTTAGGAAAATGTAACACTGTGCTTTTCAAAAGATTTAACATTTACCAGGCAAGCGCAAATGGGATGGATTAGTATAATAAAATAGGTGATTCCACTTCTGAGGAAATTAATGTTTTGCAAAATGGGTGCAAAGATATACTGAGTCAGTGATACAATAATATAGCTTTTTTATAATGTGGACACAAATCCTAATTTTTTTTTACAGACTCATTGGAGAATGTCTTGAGTGTATTTTATAGATAATTTTGCAAGTTACTCCACAGGTGATCATTTGATTAAGTATGTATTTGAGTTGTTGTGTGCAATGGAGGTTGAGCCCTTGCTAATAAAGAGCTTAAAATCTTATTGGGTAGATGATTATACTAGAGCTCTTGGCTGGAGATTACAGAAACCTCCTTAACCAACTTGAACAGTAAGGGGACTTTAGTATAAGTTTATAGGATGTCCCATGGAGTCCAAGGACAGGGATGCATACTGCAGGGAACTCAGGGATTCCTGCTCCATCTCTTATCTCTGCTATTCTCAGTTTCTTTGTCTCTGATTCTTTCTTCTCTTCTGGCACACTGGTTTTCTTGGTTTCTTAGTCTACATGGCAAAAAATGGTAATAGCCAAAGCTCCTGAGATTTACTCCTACAATCAAGAGATCAGCTAGTTGGAAATAGAATCCTATTCCCAATTCCACATTTCCAGTGAAGGGCCTAATTTGTCGATCTTAAATCAGGTTCTCATTCCTGCACCAGTCACCTGGTAGACAGGAGCAAGATCACATTAACCATATAGAAGTTGGAGGGAAGGGGTAATGTCTAGAAAAAGGGGTACTAGGTGGAAAGCCCAGTAGGTATTTATCAAAGTACAGAAACACAATACAACCAACATCATAAGGTACAAAGTGATTTGTAAATTGACAGAAAATAAAATATACTGATAATCTTGTAAGCCAAGAGGTGAATGTATGAATAAATATGGTGTGTCTTGAGTTGAATCTTGAGTAATCTTGAAAGCTAATTCACATAGGTAGCAAAAAATATATTTTTAAAATGTCATTCATGGATGAACAAATTTCCATACCATAAAGTTAGTGAATTACTGATACGTGTTATGACACAAATGAATCTTGAAAACATTGTGTTATGTGAAAGAAGCCGGACATAAAGCACTACACACTGTACGATTCTGTTTATGTGAAATGTCCAGAGAGGCAAATCCATAGAGACAGAAAGTAGATTAGTGGTTGCCAGCAGCTGTGGGGAGGAGAGAATGGGGAGTGACTGCTAAAGGGTACAGGGTTTCTTCTTAAGATGATGACAGTATTCTGGAATTAGTGGTGATGATTGCAACCTTGCAAACAAACTAAAGACCACTGAATTGTACACTTTAAATGGGTGACTTTAGTGGTATCTAAATTACATCTCAGTTTTTAAAAAATTCTTCTATAATGAGCTGTGGATAAGTTTTCATTTTTTTTTTTTTAATCTGTGATATTCATTGATAAGGATAAGTTATCTTTCCAGCTTTGTTAGAGTTGAGTTAAAGATTAGAATTTAGTAGGGATACCTGGGTGGCTCAGTTGGTTAAGCATCTGCTTTTGGCTCAGGTCATGATCCTAGGGTCCTGGGATCGAGCCCCGCATCGGGCTCCTTGCTTGGTGAGGAGCCTGCTTTTCCCTCTGCCTC